CACACACACACACACACACACACACACACACACACACACACACAAGCATTACAAGATATCTGTTTCCTATTTATGTATATTTATTTTGTTTTTGTTTTATTATAATATTGTGTCGTGTGTGAATTATATAACACATATTACGCAGTGACGATTCGGCACGTGTGAGATTAGGATGGCCGCCGCAATTATGTTAGTCCGTCCCGCATTGCTAACGCTGATCTATCTATTTTATTATTTTCACAGGCGCAAATCGCCAATCATTATTATTTTTTACGTGTTCGATGGCTCAAATAGCCTCGATCCTTGTATTATTTTTAGGCGCTAATCCCCGGAGTTTTTTTATATTATAATATTATACTTTATTATTTGTGTGCGCTAATCGCCTCGAATCTCGATGTCTTTATTATAACCCTTGTTTTACATTATTCGCAATAAGGTGGTTTGATGTGTGACAAGGTGTGATAACCGCATCGGAGCCCGGGCACACGAACTATTATTGTTTGTTCCTGGCCCTATTATAACACTATTACCCTGTTATAACAACCTGTGTATTGTATTTCCAAAAACAGGAAAATATTATACTTTGTATGTATTTTAGCTAAAAAATCAATGTCATTATTCATCCCGGTGATTTGTGTAATAATAATCAACTATTCTTAATGCAAAAATTACTTTTTTAATAACTTAAATTTATTTTCTAGTGAATCAATTTGATGATTTCAATTTACAAAAACAACATATAGCAGAAACATTGTTTTTGAGAGATTTAATGGAATTACATTCATTTAATTCTGATCTTATTATCTTGTAAGTGTAATATTAATGTTTGTTCTTATCCATTTGTGAATGATTAATATAAAAAAAAACTTTTTTTCAGAACGACTCCACAAAATAACGAGGAAATCAATATAATATTCATGTGTTGGATAGAAACGATTTCTAGAGGGTTACCACCATGTATTATAATCAATGGGAGTACTCAGCCAGTTCTTACCGTCAATGCTTAACCCATAAACAAACTTAATATGCATACATTTTCCTTTAATTATGTATACAATCACGTACTATTAAATTTCTTTTCAGATTAATGGATATGTAGACATTGCGAAGTTTTTTCCTTTTACTTGGGGCTAAATTTAACTAAGATCATTAATCCAAACAATTTCGAAATCTTAATTTTATTACGTGACATAGACGTGATGTCTTAAACTCGAAAGAATACATTTGCATTTCTCTAACACGGCCAAGTCGAAAATAGAAAAAATATTGAAACATCACAGAGAAGTTGAATGTGCTCCAAGCCTCAATATCAACCCTAACTCTGTCTATACGACTCAATTAGACTAATTCTTCGGTCTTCCGAATACGCCTGTGGTAAATTATTATTTTATAAGAAGTAATTATAATCACAAATATTGTTCCATATACCCAGGATTATTTCACTTATCCACTTATAAAAATAAAACATTTTATTTTGAACACAACAGAATTTTATAATTTGAAATAAAAAAAAGTGGGTTATTGGATATCGCTCTACCATACATTAAGTGTCTAAGACTCTAAGAAGTACAGTAATGGATGGTATTAAATTCGAATTGAATGATATCAAATCATTGTATATTTGTATACTAAAAACGATTCCGAGCGGAGACGGTATGTCGGTATGTCGGTATGTCAGTTTAGGATATTTTATATTGTTATTACTATTATTATTAATATGGTAGCCGGTAAGTTGAATTAATATTATTCTTAAATCATCAGTGATACTGGAAAAATATGAAATATACCCATGTAAAATTGGGATGTTTCGGAACATAATAGATAATATTATTACATAGATAATTTTATCATTTTAATGAAGTATATTGTAATTTATAAACCCTCATATTACTATCTTTTTAAGCACTAATAATATCTTTACACTTAATGATTTATAATGATTTATTCTTTTTTTACTCATTTTGTAAAGATTTTGTTTCGATTCTGAGCAAAGTGATGAAAGTATTGATTTTACAATGATTAGTGTTTTTTTTGTGTCTATCATTTCAAACCATCTCTGGTTGGATCGTCTTTTCTGGTAGGAATGTGAATCTAGTTGGTACTATGAGAGGTCAAATGTAAAAAAATTCCAAATAGTTTTCAAACGCCTCAGAAAAAAACAAACAAAAAATGAAAGATAGTTGTTTTTGTTTTTTAATGCAACTCAAAAAAAAAATTACCAAATAGAGTTGACATTTTCCCTGAATATCTATATTAACAATTTCTATGCACCAAAATATTTTTGAAAGATTACGACTCTTTTTGAGCCATTTATAAGCATAAGAAAATTTCGAGTTTTAATAGTTTTTTTTAAAATTATTGTCGGTACAAAATTTTTTGCTTTGACAAAAAAATTGAAAATATAATACTTTGTTCTTCATAAATTGTTGTCAGTGAAAATAAATAATAGTCGAGCTTAGATTCACAATAATTTTTACTAACTACGTAACATATCATATAAATTTTATCATTAAAATCACATATTATTTTTAATTTGATCAATTAATTTTTTCTTTTTATTTGTATCTTCTCTGTATTATGTTTTTCTTTTTTTTTATTTTGTCTGGTAACTGTATTTTTATTGTTCTAGTCTCAACATTTGTTTCTT